TTTTTTTTTTTTAACCATTTGCCTTTTTTATGGTAGTAAATACATATGCAAAACATTCACCATTTCAACTTTTTTTGTGTGTGGTAAATATGTATGTAACAAAGCAGCTCTGGTGGCATAGTGCCTAAGGGATTTCACTGCTAGCCAGAAGGTTGGCAGTTCAAACCCACCAGCCACTCCACGGAAGGAACACTGGGCAGTCTGCTTCCAATAAAGATTTATTGCCTTGGAAACCCAAAGGGGGTCATGATTGGTCGGAATCGACTCAATGGTAGTGAGTTTGGTTTCGGTTTATGTATGTAACAAAACATTTGCTAATTCAACAGTTTTTACATGTCCAATTTAGTGAAATTAATTATGTTCATCATATTAGTCAAACATCATCATCATCCTTAACTAGAAGTTCAGTGTCCCTAAGCAATGAGTTCTACTTCCCCTCGAGGCCTCCCTCAGTAACCACTAATACTTGGTTTCTATACATTTGTTATCTATACTCTATTGAAGATAATTAAAAAATGGTTGCAGAGATTGATAGAGAGCTTCCAGAAATGCAAGCTGGATTCAGAAGAGGATGTGGAATGAGGGATACCATTTCTGATGTCAGATGGATGTTAGCTGAAATGAGATGAATATCAGAAAGATGTTTACTTATGTTTTACTGACTGTGCAAAAGCGTTCAATTGTGTGGATTATAACAAATTATGTATAACATTGAGAAGAATGGAAATTCCAGCACACTTGATAATACTCATGAGGAACCTGTACATAGATCAGGAGGCTGTTGTTTGAACAGAACAAGGGGATACTGCACGGTTCAAAATCAAGAAGAGAGTGTATCAAGGTTGTATCCTTTCACCATACTTATTCAATCCGTATGCTGAGCAAATAATCCAAGAAGCTAGACTATATGAAGAAGAACGTGGCATCAGGATTGGAGGAAGACTCATTAACAACCTGCAATACGCAGATAACACAACTTTGCTTGCTTAGAGTGAGGATGATTTGAAGTACTTACAGATGAAGATTAAAGACTACAATCTGCAGTATGGATTACACCTCAGTATAAAGAAAACAAAAATCCTCACAACTGGTCCAATAAACAGCTTCATGGTAGATGGAGAAAAGATTGAAGTTGTCAGGGACTTCATATTACTTGGTTCTACAGTCAACACCAATGGAAGCAGCAGTCAAGACATCAGATGACGTATTGCATTGGGCAAATCTGCTGCAGAAAACCTCTTTCAAGTGATGAAGAGCAAAGATGTCTCCTTGAAGACTAAGGTGCGCCTAACCCAAGCCATGGTATTTTCAATCGCCTATTATGCATGTCAGAGCTGGACAGTGAATAAGGAAGACCAAAGAAGAGTTGATGCTTTTGAGTTGTGGTATTACAGAAGAATGCTAAGAGTACCATGGTCTGCTAAAAGGACTAACAAATATGTCCTGGAAGAAGTGCAGCTGGTACGCTCCTTGGAAGCAAGAATGGCCAGACTTTGTCTCACCTACTTTGGTCATGTTGTCAGAAGGGACCATTCCCTGGAGAAGGATATCATACTTGGTAAAGTGGAGGGTCAATGAAAAAGGGGAAGGCCCTCAACGAGATGAATAGACATAGTGGCTGCAGTGAGGTGCTCAGGTATAGCAAGGATCATGAGGCTGACACAGGACCAGACGGTGTTTCATCCTGCTGTGCACAGGGTCGCTGTGAGTCAGAGACAACTCAATGGCACCTAACAACAACAGCGACATACATTTGCCTGGTCTAAATATTTCATGGAGGTGGAATCATTTAGTACTTACCCTTTTGCGACTGGCTTATTTTACTCAGCGAATATTTTCAAGGTTCATCAAGCAACATACGTTTTTAGGACATTCTCTTTTTATCTTTTTTCCCTTTCATTTATCGCCTATTCCAACAAACATATCAAGCATATTCTGAGTGTTTTAGGGCACTGCCTCATGTAGTTCTAGTTCTCATGATAGCTCTCAGGTAAGAGATCTTGCTTAGATAGTCAAGGTCACAAAACTGATGTGTGGAATGGGATTTGAACTTAGAGAGTCTGTCTCTAGATCCCACATCCTTATCATTGTGCTATTGTACCTGCTCTATAGAACTCTTTTTAAAGGTAACTTTTGACCAATGCATGTAATATTATTATTACTAATACAGTTATATGGCTTTAATTTGTTAAATAGAACAAGTGAATGTAAAGCATCCTGGGATGAATGGAAATGCCTTTATTGCCATCATCTTATTTGCACAAAGGTGGCTTTTTAGCTTTCTCCATCTTAAAAATGGTATACTTTCTTCTGGTTTTCTTTTTCTGATTAAGAAGCTTTACTGCTTGAATGCTTTTCCTTATATTGGATCTTCTTGTCATGTCTACTATATCTTACCCATAGTCTTGTAATAGATGGCTTGTCATCTTAAAGAACACGCCTGGGAAGACCTACAAGATGAATTAGCCACATCAACCTTAATCAAATTGTCTGCCAAGGTGATCCAAGGACCTCAGCACATTGCTCCTTTTTGTACTGTGCTGGTGATTGTATTTCTAGGTCAGGAAACCATTGCAGATTTTTTAAGAAAATAATTGTTTTGTGTGTTGTTTCCCTTTTGCAGGAAGATCTGTTTCAGCAGCCTGGCCTGAGGTCAGAATTTGAGCATATCAGGGACTGTTTGGACACTGGAATGATTGATAACCTCTGTATCCTTCAGACATTGAGCTCTGTGTATGTATGTATGTATGTGAATATAAATGAGAGAAAGGAAGAAAGCGTATTTTAAGGCTCCATAGCTGATGTTCCCTCAGATTTTATGTTCTTACTTACAAGTTTGTATGGAGAAGAGAAGACTTTAAGTAACCAATATAGCAAGAACTCAGGTTCTTGGCTCAGCTGACAAACAGCTTGTCCCCTTTGAGATGTTGGGCTGGCGTCCTAGCTCTGAGCCAAGAGACTGATTGGGTGGGCAGTACCGGCATGTTCTTGCTCCTAGGCCTTTTCCTAATCATAGGCAACAGCATCAACTGTTCCTTAACCCTGGGCCAAAAGCTGCTAACAATCATTCCGTAGCCGAGGCCTTGCTGCTTTTCCTTGAGAGTCTGCCAGAGCCTGTCATCTGTTACAGCACCTACCACAACTGCTTGGAGTGTTCTGGCAACTACACAGCGAGTAAACAGGTGAGGGGAAGCCTTGCGCATCACTGTACACATGTTGCTAGCCCCAGGCTTCAAGGGGCCTGAGAGAACAAAGTGGACACATTCCCTCAAGGGTTAGTGTCTTAAAAACTCAGCTTCATATCTTGACTTCCCAAACCTGTTTTTCCTCTCATGTCCTTTTTCCTTTTTAATGCCATCACCATTAATTTCAGTGACTCAACCCTGAAACCTGAGTCATTTCTATCTCCTCCCTGTCTCTCATCTCCCACATGCCGAGTCCCATTGATTTGTCTCCCATGTTCTCTCTCTCCATCCACTTATCTTGGTTCAAGTCCCTGTATCCCAGCTCTTCCTCTGCTGATTAGTTTTACATACTGCCTTCAGATTGTGTTTCCTAGTGCTCTCTTTCATTATGGTACTATTGCTCAAAAACTGTAATTGGCTGTCCATTGCCACTTAATGGTTTTCCTTAACAAATGTTTAAGACTTTCTGTGATCTAGCCTAGTGATTTGCACATATACCAGACCATAGGAGAATAATTGGGAAAACTTAATAATACAGATTCCAGAGCCTCAGAGTGCACTGAATCAGAATCTCTGTAAATGTAGCCCAGGCATTGATTTTGTACAAGCTCCCCAACTGATTCTGATAGGCACATAGCTAGGGCACTCATTGACTTCTAACCTGATCAACCCTTCAAGGCTTATCAGCGCCTATTAAACAGTTGTGTTCCTGCCAAAATTTACTTCTTATATTGTATTCTCCTGATGTATCTCACTGATTTCCTCCCTCCCTTTTTTTTTCTTGTTGCTACTGCTTTCTTTTGCTCTAAATACTATACTCTTCACTTCTGCTGATTTTGTCTGTATTCAAGACCCAACTAAAATGCTCTCTATTCCTTGAAGTCATCTGAGGACATGCAGTTACAAGTTTGACCTCCAAATTCCCATAGTGCTTGGTCTGTGTCTTTCTTTTGGCACTTGTGCCAAGTGATCAAACTTTCCTATGCACAGTCTTACTCATGTACTTGGGTCATATACTTAGTTCCTGGAATATAGTACGCAATTGACAGAATATTTGATTGAACGAACAAGAAAATAAACCCCACTTCTTTCTCTTCCAGGTCATTTCCACTCTCCCCACATTCCACAAAAATGTCTTTAACTACTTGATGGCGTTTTTGCAAGAATTGCTGAAAAATTCAGCAAAAAATCATTTGGATGAGAATATTCTAGGTAAGCAGCCAAGTGTTTGTGAGAAGCATCTCTGCCAACTGAGAAACCCATTACGTGAATTGTGATTGAGGACAGTCCCAAGTCCATTCTCGTGGAACTAAAATCTCAAGCTCTGGACAAAGTTTAATTCTCCACTAGTTTTTTCCTAAAAGAAGAAAATACTGTTTTGGGTCATTTCTCCCCTCTCCTAGCAACACAAGAGTAAGTAGTACCATCTTCTGCTGAATCATTCGTTTTCTGTTTTTCATGCAGCGAGCATATTTGGCAGCTTGCTCCTTCGAAGCCCAGCTGGTCACCAAAAGCTTGAAATGGCAGAGAAGAAGAAGGCCCAAGAATTTATTCACCAGTTCCTCTGCAACTCACCCTGAACGCCACCTATTTCAGCTCAAGGGAGGCCTTAAGAGGGTGTGAGGCCCCTTGGAAGCAAGAATGGCGACTGCTTGTTCTCTTGAGCCCAGAACCACGAGGCTAGCACACATAGTGCTACTGTGAGTTGTGAAGACATAGGAGAACATCGACGACAATAAAACTGACATTCATTGTTTGACTTTAGTTATATTTAACACACATTTCTCTTTTTTAATTTTTAAAATTAAAAGAATAAATGAACTTTTTTCTTACGCTCAATCAGCCTGCCTTCAGGGCATAGTCAGCGCTCCATGATCAAATACCATTTAAACAAATTTTGGAGTCCTCAGAAGAGAGTGAGCTGGACAGCAAGACTGCAGACGGAAGCTGCTGAACAGACAGATCATAGCCACCCCAGATGCTTCCAGTGCTTAGTCTGAGAATATGTGTCTATGCATACGAAGATCCTGCCCCTCTACCTACTCAAATGTGGCTCAGTAACTGTGAGGCTGGCCACTGAGGACAATAGTGTCTTGAAAATGAAAACACTCAAGTCAGAGTTCTGATGGAGCAAGTGGGATATTTTTGGACCAGCAAATCCTCCAAACTGTATATAATGCATCCCTCCTGTCATATGTATAATATATTTTGATGATAAATGTATTTTTAACAGTAGTTGTGTATGTTTTCTATCTCTTGATTGATGGCGCTTGATAGCTGGGCCTTTGTGGTGGTAAGTTTTGGGGCAGTTGGTCAGCGACCAAAGAGACGATTGCATGGGAGTCTCATGGGTAACAGGCACGATGCACATTTTTCAAGTACAAGATGGTATAATCATAGCCTGAATCCCTTGATCTGCTCTAGTTTCTCTGGGGGTTGCCCTACTCTGAGAGGCAACTTACAGGACAAAATGGCAGTGGCTGTTGGGAGTGCTAATAGATCTTCCTGGTATTTGGGTTTGATGGAAAGGAGCATTACAAAGGCATAAGAAATTGCTTTTGAGGCACTGGAATATCACTGCTTGTCGCGTAAAATGCTAACTTAGAAATGGCCAGGAAAGAAAATGTGAACGGTTAAAGAAAGGAAATGGCCAGTAGGTGGAGTTGACTGGCCTGAGCGGGAGCCCTGTTGAAGCTGACAGTCCTCTCTGCTGGGGAAAAGTTGGGGCAGGCAGTTTGGGCAGGGGGTGTGACAAGAAAGGGAACTGGGCTTTTCTTGAAAGCATGTGAGAAAAAGTGGCGGCGTCCTCTCTGGCTTGGCTTGGAGTACTCCTAGGTCTCTCTCTTAGGTACACTCTTCCTTATTTTCTCTACTGAGTCCTTGTCCTCGCCTATATTTAAATAAAGTGATGAGTGGGAGCTGGGGCCATTGAAAGGGAAATTCGAACATGCTTCTCGGCTCTACCCTTGTGGATCCGAGCCAGAATTGTGATGGCTAACTCTGCTGTGTCCACCAGGGCGAGAGCGGCCAGCGTAAACCAGGCTGAGGCGCCTTTGGTTGAGGGGTTGGAGGTTCGCGATCCTGTTCCCCTGCGTCTGGGGCCGCGAGAGTTTGCACTGTTCGCTAGGTACCTGGAGCGCTTCCCGGACGGGTCAAACTCACCACCCAGGCAATGTCCCCTCGGTGCCCTGCTCCGCCCCTCCCGCTCGCCAATTGGAGACTCGAGCTCAGCCCCCAGACCGCCTAAACCAACCAGATACCCGAGGGAGAGGCGGAGTGGCTTTCTCCACCTTCCTCCGGAAAGCGGAAGCAGAAGTGACGTTTGGGAAGGTGGGGGCAATCATGGTGCCGCTGGGGAGGGGAGAAGCTGCTGCTGCCGCCGTTGCCGGGAGCCGCGGAGGTAAAAGGCGAAACTAGACTCGGCCTGGGCTTGGGGCTTCCCGAGGGGCGCGACACTTAGGCTCCCTTCTGAAGCATTTCCCAGTAGAGACCCCAATCCAGTCTCTATAGGGACCCCACCCCTCCTCTGTTTCCATGGGGATGGGTATCCAGCCCCCCTCCTCTGTTTCCATGGAGACCCGGACCCTGTTCCTCATAGCCCGGCTTGGAGCCACCCCTATAATGTCTCGGATTTTTCTGTGTAACCCTAGGCTGGGGGCTATCCCAGGCAGGTTTCTTTCCTCAGCTTCCTCTCTGGGGTGTTTCGTTCTCGCTTGCCACCTTCAAACCTCCTGTTCTGTTTGTTCCGGACAGTTAGTCTCCGCGTTGCCGCTTATGGTGCCGGGACAGCCCAGTAGGGCCCTTGGTGCTCTTATCTCTCCTCTCAGATGCAGCGAAATGTACATCTACTGGGTTGCGTAAGCCAGAGCTAGGGGTCGAGCCAGATCCGATCCCTTGGCCTGTCCCTAGTAACTATCTCTCTGTCTAACCGCCCTACTACATAAAGACTCACTTTCTAACCTAGAGCAGAAGAGAAAGATAAAGTGCAAAGCCAGACGGAAAACTAAAAGGAATGAGTTGATTATTTTTGAATTCTCTGTTCTGCTTGCCATAGCCACGCTTGTAGAACCTGTGTGTTATTGTAGGTGAAAGAAGAATCACAGTTCCAGAACAGGGAAGCTTCAGATTTGGTGTTTTGCCTAGGAGAGTATATTCTGTAGGTCTTTCATTCATTTAGCTAACATTTCCTGAACTTCTAGTGTCAGTATACTTTGCTAGGTGTTGTAGAAACAAAAGTAAGCAAGAGAGCCACTATACAAGCATAGCTTCTGGTTGACACCAGATTGTTTTAGGACAGAAAAGGATCAAGTGCTCTTCATTAGGTGTGCTGGATTAGGGAGCATTCTCTCCACCCAGAAGCTAAAGCATCTGCTCCAGGAAGGAGGATAGGAATCAACACTGTTCCTCTACTATTGGTCAGTCACTGTGCTTTGCATGCATTCTCCCTTTTACTCCCTGTGACAATTTAGAGGGAATAGGAATTACTAGTCCCACTTTACACATAAGGAAATTGAAGCACAGAAGAGTTAGCCAAGTAGTAAAAGCAAAGCCAGAATCTGTAGGTAGGTTAGCATGGCTCCAAAACCTTGCTCCTCATGCCAGAGATTACACTGCATCATGGTCTGATTTGGGAGATATTTGGGTGGGATTTCCTTACTTTAAGATTTATAGCAATTAAGCCTTGAAGCAGGTACTGCTCTGTTTGCTCCGTTAGGTATTTTGACCAGTCTTCACAGTGTTTGACAGGAAGGCACAGTCAGGTCTTAGGAACTGATTTGCTACTTACTACTTTAATTTTTTAAGAAAGGCATTACGTTTCCTTAAAAATGACGTAAAGGGTTTCGAAGTTAAACACAAAAAGATTATTCCCAAGGAAGATGATTTTTTATTTGCATTGTTTTGCTCTTTTAAGTGAGAGGGAAGATGAGCTCCTGTTACTGTGGAGGGCACCCCTGGGTCCTGTGGTATGGCTCTAACTCTGGCCTTGTTCTATTGCAGACGGGTCATTACCTTTCCATTTCTCACAGCTGAGCTGAGCACTATTGAACCATGGGGGAACACAGTCCAGACAACAACATCATTTACTTGGAGGCGGAGGAAGATGACCTGACTCCCGATGACAAGATGCTCAGGTTTGTGGATAAAAACGGACTGGTGCCTTCCTCATCTGGAACCGTTTATGATAGGACAACTGTTCTTATTGAGCAAGACCCTGGCACTTTGGAGGATGAAGATGATGATGGACAGTGCGGAGAACATTTGCCTTTTCTAGTAGGGGGTGAAGAGGGCTTTCACCTAATAGATCACGAAGCGATGTCCCAGGGTTACGTGCAACATATTATCTCACCAGATCAAATTCATTTAACAATAAACCCTGGTTCCACACCCATGCCAAGAAATATCGAAGGTGCGACTCTCACTCTGCAGTCGGAATGTCCAGAAACGAAACGTAAAGAAGTAAGTAAAGGTGGGGATGAGGGTGCAGTCTGGCATTGGGGAGAGTTGAACACTGGCTGCTTGAACAACTCCTGCTGGCAGTTTTAGCTGGGGAGTAAAGGACAGTCGCTACATGTGCTTCATGTTTTGCTGTGACTGCTTTTTGCTTTCTGGAACTATTGGTTTGGATGGCCACATTGGAATTTTGGAGAACTAATTATAATCCCTCAAATTTTCTTCCCCAAATCAGGAATAAAATAGAAATTTCCCTAAGAGGTAACTACATGGTTCTAATGCTGACATAACTGATTTGGCTTATCTGATAGTGAAATAACTAGATTTGACTCATCTCTAGGTTGTGTATAAATGATTTGTTTTGGAGATGCATATCTGCTGGCATAGGCTTTATTATCTTACAGAGTGTTTCGTGAATAACAAAGGCTAGCTTTCTTTCACAAGAAATTCAGGCAAGAGATGCTAAAGAGAGAGCAGTGTATCTAAAATAAGGTTTCCCGTTCATATATCACTAATGTTAGGTTGTTTGTCACAATGCTTTGAAAACTGTAAAGCACTGTACAGATTGTAAGTGGTGGTTATTAGGGGGATAAAAGATAAAGTTTAAAGGTATCCCAGAATTGACTGCATGTTAATTAGAAAAAAGTAAGTCACTGGTTGTTGCAGTACCAGGGAGTAGCTATAAGATTCTACCAAACAGAGATAGGGGCACATTGTTTATCAAAATAGGTGTCTCTTTTATTGTAATTAAAGTCTTAAAATCAGAGAATTTTTTTTTTTTTTTTAATTTTTTTTTAGGGTAGGTAAATGTGTCATTTTTTTTTTAAATTTTATTTTGATTTGGGTGAAGATTTACAGAGTAAATTCACTTTTCATACAGCAGTTCACATAATATACTTTGTCTCATGTCATTGACCAAAATTTACAATGCAACAGCTCCCCTCCCACTTCCTCCCCATAGTTACCTCTTCCCAGTGTCCATCCCTCCATACTCTTCTGCGCCCTGAGCTGTCTCCCTGTGTATAAGCAGCCCTTCCTTCTCCCATGATTGTTCTCTCCAGGGTGTGTGTCTACTTGAGGTAAATGTTTAATTCACATGCCTGTACTTTGTTTGGCTGGAAACCACAGGTG